TTCTCCACACACGAGTGGTTATTACGTAAATTAACTGAATAGCAAGAGCCTACAGAATGAACAAGATAAGGTGAAGAAGCTACAACATTTTTGGCAATGAAATGATAGAGATAGAAGATGTCACAACATAATATGAATGTCTACTGTTGAGAGAATGGATATCAAAAAGAGAAGGAAGAAAGTAAGAGATTCAGTTTATTTGGAAAATTTCCTATCTTAGCAAGCAGTATGTCTGCCAACAGGTCAATAGGGACAGTCTGGTCTGGGACGAACCAACAGGAAGGGGGACAGTGGGTTCGGGGTAGGGGCAGTCAGATGCTGGATAAGGAGGTCAGGCTGGGGGCGGGTTTTTGGGAACTTTAGTGAGACCAGCCCACCCTACGACCCCTTAAGTGGGCCTGACTTTTTCTTTTTTACTTCAAATTTAACTCTAAATGTTAAATACAAAAGAGATTAGAATTATTTTTAAAAAAAAAAACTCACATTCTTAAGCTTTAATTTGTTCAAGTATAACTTTGAAATACTATATATTTTTAATTGTGCAAATTGCTAGTATGTTTAAAAAAAAAATTAAAAAATCTAGTTAGGGGCGAGAACTGGTCCAGCCAGCCCCTCCCACACCCGTAACCCTTCCTCCTAAGCCCGACCCCTTTGGTCTTAACTCTTAAGTGGTCCAGTCTGGTTCGGGTTTAAGTGGACCAGCCTGGCCCATTTGGCAGCTATAAGCAAGAGAAAAAAACTTGAAAAGCTGTCAACTGTTCTACCTGCATTGGCCAACCAAAACTCACCTGCATTGGCCAACCAAAACTCTAGGAAATACTTAGATAGAACTCCAATATTCCACACTTCGAAAGGGAGAAAAAGACAACAACAAAAAAAGAGTACATCTATATAAGACCGATGAACCATGCATGTACAATGTGTTCACAACTAGTATAGAATGTGTAAATAAAATCTTCGTATTGACTGTGATAATTTACAAGTACATAAACAATGAAAGTAAAGACAAAGTACCATGCTTGTAATATACAAACACATTCTGTAATTAAGAAACAGGATTGAAGCATCCATATCTAGTATGTCTTTAAGACTACGATCTAACCAAAGGAGAACTTATCTATAAACTGCCCAATTGATGTTAGTAAATAGTAATTCTTTCTTCGGTCCCATAGAAGACAAGTCGACAACAGGAACAAAATAGAAGAATATTTTAAAGGACGAGAGATCCAATAGAGTCCCACAGTACAGAATCACCAATGCATTCACAGTTAAGTAACATATAACAAACTTAAGAAAAAAGAGAGCAGTTTCCATGGAGTCTCAAATATAATAATAGGAAATTGTAATGCGCACCACACTTCTTGCAGTGAAAAAAGTTCTGACGGCCACCGACTCTACACAAAAGAAAATATTCTAATTAGCAGACTTCAGAAGCACCAAAGTACTCTCAATAAGCCACCAATGCAACGTGTATACTTACCTGCAGATTCCACAATCATCACAATGAAACTGCTCTTTGTCTGTCTGTAACAATGGAGTTATAAAAATAAATACATTGATATAAGTAGTCGATAAAATCCTAAAGAACAAAGGACATTGAGTTTATATGAGGCTAGGGGCAATGAATGAATCTCATTCAGCAGAAGCATAGGATAATTACATCATCGTCATAGAATTTGCACACTTCACAGAAGTATTCTCCCATATTTACACCACAATTTGTACAAACATGAGCAACCTAAATTGAAATAAAGAAAGACATTAGAGACTCGATTCCATATATCACCAACCAAGAAAAAAAATCAAATTCAAATAAAGGGACACTTACCGGCTGTTCTGTATCACAAACTGAGCAAATGACCTGATATACCAAAACAACACACACTTCATGTAAGAACTTCTAAACCATAACACCGAAGAATAATAATCCCCAAAACAGTACCTGCTTTACATCATGTCGAACCAGTTCGTGCCGATCATATATATTGCGCAACAAGCTCTAATCAAACAAACACAGCAAAACAAAACACAACAAATCATCAGATTGATAATACAACAATTAACAGTGAGTAACTTCAAGATCATGAAAGGGAATTCTCTAACAAAGTTACCGTTGCTTCATTGTGACAATGACGACAATCAAAGACCTCATTACAGCAAGGCGCCCTAATCCTGCATCTTCTCCTATAGTGCTCACATCTATCACATATCCACAAATCAATTAATTTAAATCCCAATCAGACACTAACAAAGTTTCAATCTTGAAGCTTATACAGATAACCCCACATAACCAAACATAAAATCAAAGTTAACCCACCAGCTAAAAAAGGGCATTTCATCATTTAGTTCACTAATCAAACAGTTAAGATGCACATTATCCTAAATCTGAAGGTTAACATGTATAATACACATAAAAAAAAATGCATAAATATACGTTATTTTTCCATACCCATAACCCATTTTGCCAAAATAAAGGCGTTCATTGCAGGAGCGTTCCATATTTTTGCAGGGAAACAAAGTACACCCACCACCCCCGGTACCAAGATAGCCGAAGGAGGAGGGCTGAGGAGACAAAGGGGAATGGGCTGAAAACCCAAAATTCAATCAAAGTGAATATGACATTTCGTTATAATAAGGGACAAACGATCTTTATATGCAGCCATGCCCCATTAAGATATTGCAACAATAATTGTGGTTAATACTATACCATATATGGAAATAATTAAGGAAATATTCACTCCGTCTCAAATTATCTATTTTGATTTTTATAAATAGTTATTTTAAATTATTTACTATTAAAGATGATACAATATTTTTGAAATTAATTACGTCTAAGGAAACATTTATTGCATTAAGAACTCTTCACAATTTTATGGTGCATTTCGAAAAGACAATCTCAAAACTTTTAAATACCATAAGAAAAGTAAGAGATAAGCTTCAATTAGATTTAAATTTTAACCAAAAAACGAAACACAGTAGAATTATATTTCACTAAATTGTCTTAAATATAAATTTGTACTTTTAAAGAATGATTAATTTATAATATTTATGGGACCATACGTTTTATGTAGGGGTCTTCTAAAAATATATTATCTTATTATCCTGTCGAAATGAATAATTTTTTCCATCGACCCAAGTTGAAATCGAAGGAAAATATTATTTCAGAGGTTATTAATAAATTGAGTATTAATTTAGTGGGATTTTATTGAAATAACAAGTAAAAGTAAAATTTATTTTCTAAATATTGAACAAGTAAATGTGGACTGAAAAATAATATTTGAAGGTATAAATAAGGGTGGGGTGTGGAGAGGGAGAGAGGATAAGATCTAGTTGGATGGGTGGGGCATGGGAGAGAAAAAGGATAAGCACCGTTATAACGGTGTTATGGGCATCTATAGTTGGTTGACAGTTGACATTACGTAACTTTAAAAAAATGATTTAACTTGTTATTATAAAATGAAGTGAGATTACGTGTAATTTAATCAAGTAATAAAAAAATACAACCAAAACGCATAATTTTGTATGAGCTCTGAATGCGACTAAATATTTTTCTTAGATGGTTCATCTATATTGCTAATGATTTATTTTTATTTTTCCTTTTTTAGAAGAGAGAGATGGTATATATTGGGATTCGACTAAATTTAAATTTATGTCAAAAAATCTCACAGGGAAATACGTCGCTGCCTAACAAAGTCTATTTTGTATTTATGGAATTCAAACCTGAAACCATTAATTAAGAATGAACAAGTATTTACTATTTCACCACGATCCTTAGTGATCGTTCTTGTAGGTTGATCGGAATATGATCCGTCTTTGTTAAAACCCCTTTAGCTCCTCCATTGGACAGGTGCGGAAAATGATGGATAAACTACCGTAACACTGATTTAGAAATTTTATTTAATATATTTTTATTAAGAAAAAAACTTATAATATTTTCTTTAAGAGACAAATTTACAGAATTTTGAATTTTATGTTGTTAAATGTTGGAAAAACAAATAATTAAGGGGGTAGATTGGAGAAGAGGCATCACTAATACGGAGTAAATTGCGCTGGAAGTTTCAGTTATGATTCCTATAAACATGTGAGTTCTTGTCAACTTATTTATTACTAGTACAGATTAGTGTGTGCTAGATGGTGTCAATTTATATTACTCGAAGCAGCATAAATATTTAAATTATATTCCCTACTAGTACTTGATTAAAAAAATAAAACAATGAAACACAAACTCTGTGATGGAAGAATTGCACTTCTAGTCACTCATTATTGGTAAAATTTCATTTCAAGTTTTCAACTATCATATAAACCAACTAAGCTCTATGTGTATTAGTAATACTGTATTTTTAGAATCTTTACTATTCATTTAATTAGTCCCTTTCTTGAGAAATATGTTACTATATAAAGGTCATTTTAAGAATCATATTATCCTCAAAATAAGAAGTAAAACAACCATATGGTGTAAAATATGAATAGTTACGGTACGAAATGTTAATTCTTACTAAATAATGATAGCATACTACTATTTTAAATGTTTATTGTAAACTAACACTTTACATCATATAAGGATAATTCTTGCCAAATTATACATGGCACAGTTTGATCTTTCGAAAACAATCTCTCTGCCATACATAAGGTAGAGGCAAAGTCTGTGTACACCTCACTCTCGCCAGACCACCACTTGTTATATTGTTGTTGTAGTATTATATATATATATGGTTTGTTGAGTTGTGCAAGCTTTCTGATCAATAATTAACTTTTGGCTAAATGAACTGTATTGATAATACTTTCACTTGGTCACTTCTGTTTCAGAGTTGAACAGTCACACTATTCTCACTGGGTTTAGTTAATAACAATAGTAAAAAAAATTATTTACATAAATGTTATGTACAAATCAAAAAAAAAAAAAAAACTAAAATACATGATCTCCCCAGTGTATGACCAAACTGCACAATTGATTGGGATACAGCTCAAATTTAGCCTTACCAGGGACCTATATTCACCTCCCCAAAAAGCAAGAAAATAATCCCAGAAAACCTCTATATTGACCGCCCTTCCTCATTAGATTCAACATTCATCCTCAAAACAGAAGCAGAAAAATCTCTGGATAGATTGACATTTCCATCAACATCAACTTTGCCATATGCAGCAAGACGATCATCCATCACAATTTTGCAGAATCCTGATTCTTCACCTCCCAATCTTACACCATAATACGTCAGATGATCCTTAATACTTCTACCAGCTACTGACCTGGAGTATTTTAGAAAATTAGCAAACAGGCCAAGAGCACTAGCAAAATTCCGCGAGTTCTCCACAACACAAAGGACAATCAGAAAAGGGACGGGGGCTAGGAAGGCCTCTCCTTTGGTAACCGGACATGTTTCACATGGGTGTATAGCGTCTGGCCATGAGACAATTCAAATCAATATTGATATCATAATTCCTTTGGTAAGAAGAAAGTGGAAAAAAAACAGTTCGCTTCTCTCTAAGAATATTTTTGAACTGCCATCTCCTAACTGATTTGTATGACCAAACTTCAGTTCAAATGGGGTGACTTGATTAATCTTCAGTTTTATCTTTGGATATTGGTGCATTATTTTCAAATTATAAAGGTAATAGGTTTATAAACAAGACCAAACACAAATAATTGAATCAAAGAATGATAAAAGAGTAATTGAAAAGATCATGGTGAAAGCAGAATGTTATCTACTAGATATATAACAATTAGGTCAAACAAAATAGGAATGAGGAAATTTCTTTCTAGAATTTGACAGTGAGAGGCGTAAAACAGTTGTACTTAGAAAAACCAATTAAGCTCTTACACATATGATTGTTCAACAGAGAAACTACAACCTTCCGTCTTTTTCCGTAATTTAGTCGGACAAAGTACCAACTCTTTTATTACTTTATGTCCCCTTTTCTTTAATCCAGTGAACTTTTTGAGCTTAGAGCTTCACAGAGATTTTACAGTTTTATTCTACACAATTGTGTGGAACGAACCAAACCTCCTTTAAATAAAGAAGGAAGCCGCATAGTGACAATGATGCAGATTGCAGTGTGCCCTTTACTAATACCAATTTACTATAATGATTTCTCCTCTATATTTTAATCTGACCAGCACAAACTATGTTTAATATACACCAATTTGCAGTTCTCTTGTAAATTGATTACAGATAAGCCCATGACAGAGAGAAGTTACCTGCTACAAGAAGGGTCTTCCCCAGAATCATCACAGACCTTTTCAACTGTATAAGAAAGAAGTCCAAAGCCTAGGTTATGGAGCCACACCTGCAATATCGGAGATTTCAAAAACAAGAATAAAACCAACGATTAATTTATAACAACAGCCATTAAATTGATGAAACTCACATAAAAAATGACAACATACTTTCAATTTATTCAGGCAGAAAATGGGATTGCGAGCAACACACAACAATGTATAAAAATATATAATTATCTTTAACGTATAGTAAGAGCTCAAGTACAAGTCAACATTCTTCAATTTGTTACACTGTTTTCTTCAATAAATAATTTTTTTGAATAGCTAAATCACTGTACTGAAGATATTCACTACACAGAAGGTTGCTATTTCATTCCTTACAATTTTTCCAAGTACTGAACTGGCAGCTGGATTTCAATCAGATTAAAATTAGGCACAAAATATTTGAGTTATGCTTGTAGAACAGTTACCTCCCTAGGAAAATGATGATAAGTTTTCTGAGAGAAATAGTAATAGTATGGGGGCAAATGAGGGACAATATCATGTTCATGTGTGACCCGAATTGTATTTGGCACCCATTTGCTATAGTAGGACGCAAAAGCAGCATTCCCGATTCGAGGTTGTCCAAATGTCATAACTGAAACATTCCGCGAGCCATAATTTACCTGGAATAAGCATACATAAAATAAGTCAATAGAAACACTAGCTCATTTTTCTTTTTTGGGGGAGGATGGGGGAGGGGGGAAGCCTAGTTATGTCACAAGATCCATCAAGCATACAGTTCCACCTTTTCTAATCATAAGTATGAACATCTACAACTGATAAATAGAAAATATTAGTAAAAGAGATATAAAACGCATCTTGTCAAATCATAAATTCATGATTCATGAAGCAAAGTGGGAAACTGAAACATGTAACTATTCGTCAGGGAGTGCAAATGCAATAGAGCTTACAAGGTTATTCTATAACCTGAACTATCTAATTGGAAAAGCAGGTCAAAATATATAGTCGATGGAAAGTCATAAAATAGCAGCAAGTTTAAAACATACTGTGAGATCCAATCCACAAAAAGCAGCCATGGCCCCTCCCATTGAATGTCCTGTCACCATAATGGGAATGTCTCCATACTGTTCTTTTGCACTTTCAACAGCACTTAGCACTCCAGGGCGTAATGTTGTGTTGTGGTAAGCAGAATAAAATCCATGATGCACCTGCAAGATGCAAAACTGACTTTAATCTTCCTGCAGAAAAGATGATAAATACACAAAACAAAGCAGAATAGATTCCAAATATTGTGCACTCACCATTGCATCTTCCATTCCAGGATATTCTATATCAAGCTGCTTCCAGTATAGATCTGCTATCCAATTCTGTATGCTGTATCAAAAAAGCTAATGAACTTAGCCATCCATATGTTGGAGATGCATACTACTTTATATGAACAGATCCACCAGTGCTTAGTGGATTTTAGGCATAATCACAAGGCAAGATAAAAAAGAATCTCTTGAGCTACATTTCACAACTTATAGCCTGCCTGACCAAAGCTTCCAAAATCTGCTTATTCTGAAAAGTGCTTTTGTCACAAGTGTTTTTCCGAAGAAGTACATTCAGAGCAACAGTTTGTGTTTGGCTAATTAATTTGAAAAGCACTTTAGGCAGTGTTGCAACACCAATTGTGCTTGGCCAAGATTCCAAAAATCCTTCTTGGGAGAAGTTACAACATTTACTACTACTCAAACATACTTAGTTTTTTCATGAAAGCTTGGCCAAGCATCTCAACTCTCTAAAAGAAGCACTTCCCTAAAATAAAATAAAAACACTTTCGGCTTCCCAAAAGCTTGGCAAAATAGGCAATTAGACATGAAAGGTCTGGTCAGCTTCCCAGTCTCTCCACTATCACAATATTTTCCTCCATTAAAGAAAGAAAGCTGAATTACTTGAACTTTCTGCCTACTTGAAAACCTAAATGCACTTCCTCTACCTTGAGCGATGACAAACTTATCTTCCCAATCATCTCAAGCTAATGGCAAAAATTTCAAATGCCCACCTAACCAAAAACTCCTTCACTTTTTATGTGGCCCTTTTTCTTTGGCTGAGTTTGATTGGGAAAGGGAAGGCAACACGGGTGGAGCTACAAGCCCACGTACGGGTTCGGTTGAACCTAATAACTTTAATTCAGACCATGTATTTGTATTAAGAAATTTACTAAGGGTGTGCTTGGTATGGAGGAAAATATTTTTCAATTTTCTCATGTTTGGTTTGGTCAAATGCTTTGGAAAACATTTTCTTTAGGAAAATAAGTTTCTTAAAACTGGGAAAATGACTTGCTTAATGGAAGTAGGGAAAACAAGTTCCATAAGAGACATTCCAAGTTCATCATCTCTTCCCTACTCACCCAGCACTCCCAACCCCCACCTCTTGACCATCCCACCCTCCGCCACCCTTGAAACCCCACCCCCACCCCATCTCACCTCCATATATGGTTTGCTAGATTACATATAATATATTTTTGAGATAATTATTTTTTACTTACTTAACAAGCACTAGAAAATATGTAAGAAATCCAATTGATTTCCGAGGAAATATTTTCTAGGAAAACATTTTTCCTTCATACCAAACACACCTTAAATATGTACAAAAATTAAATTTAAAACCCAATTACTTTATCTATCCTAGAATTTGGAACCCATCTATCCTATGGATATATGGATATACCAAACACACTAGATGATTTCTTCCCATCTATCCTATGGATATAGTTACCTGGTAATTATTGTTGGTTGGAAGTGACAAGTATATCGTGGAATTAGAGGAGGAGTGCTCAAGCTAGCGCGGACACCACAGTTATCAGAAAACTAATTATTATTATAATATTGAAAACATAAAAGAATTATATCATGGAAATTGAAATTTTGCTCAAGGGTACTAATGGTCATTTAAGAGCATATTTTGCATACCTTATCCAGTTCAATGGCCTTGTTAACTAACATAAAAAGTAGGGGAGGTCTCTGCAACAACATGTGAAGCTAGAGGGGTGGTCCGTATTATTTCTCAAACTAGAGAGATTCAATTTACTTTAATCACTGTGATTCTTTAAGCTTGATAAAACAAGAGATAAGGTCCACATAATTCAACCAGAACATCAAAAGAAGCCACTGCTCCATAAAATGTGAATGTTCGAACAGCTCCATCAGGTGAGAATCCACATAAATAGCCAGCAGTCTCCCCCCCCCCCCCCCCAACCCCAAGACAAAGTTATTGTACCAAACAATATCCACTTATTGTGATCACTGACAGCTGTCAAACCTATAAAAACTTTAGCATTGATAAAATTCTCTTTCAACCGTTTCTTATTTGTTAAGACCAATGTTTAAAAGGCAAAAAATATGCAATGAGGCCATTCACTTGCAACGATGCAAGTGATATACGCTGAAGCAAACGATGAATGCTAGTACTGATTTTTTGGATAGGTAATGTTATTAGTAATATTAATTTTTAAATGAGACTGCCTTGAAAATAGAATCAAATTAAAAGGAACTTACCAAAAAAAAAAATATTAAAAAGAGATCCAAATGAGACCTACAAATATGGGAAATTTTATGTTGTTACCCTCAATCTCGTCTATTCTGTAAATCTTTACACAAGATTCATTCTTCCCAAAGATCAAAAAGATGGTTTGGGTTATAAAACAATACCTACTGACTAAATTAACCCTTTTAAGCATTTCGACTTGAATTTGCATTGGAAAAAATGATATGCGCTTAGTACGACTAGCTACATGGAAAAGAACTAAGGACCTATCTACTTCTTGTACATATTCACTTTTACACCAAAAGACTAAGAGAGCTAAATTTCTATGTTTTTTGAGCAGGACTTATGTACAACAACTCTGATATGTCTACCAAGATATCCATCTCAATAAACTAGTCAGACTTCTTATTTGCAAAATAAGACATTTTTTATTCACCATACAGTCAAATTAAACATGAGACCACATGAATGATGAGCACAGCCCGGAGTAGAAATGAAACCTGGTTCCCTGAGTGCCTCGGAAAGCAATTACAATGGCATTAAGATCTGGAGCCACCCCCACAAATGCCTGAAATTGATATCAATAGTTAGAACCAAATTAGCACCTCAAAATGAGAGCACCACATGCTTTTGTGCTATTTGATTTTCACCTGTAGACATCGCTTCACATCAACAATGAGCTCTAAAATTTGAAACCCCTGCACAGGATGAAGGCTTGGACAAATTAATCATATAAGAATAACACAGGATGAAATTTACACAAGGCTTCTCTTCAAACTGAAGAATATATTCACAACAATCCAAACAAAATACCTTCGTCAAATCATTACATTTTGGGCATGTCCAAGTAAATAGTTCTGTCAAATCTGACACATAGACCTACAAATACAGAGGTCATATTTGTTATACTCTAGGTGACAAAAGTCCAGCAAGAACATCACAAGTATGGATATAATTGGTTCCCTAATAAAACAGCTTGAACCGGTGAAGTATGGAATATATTAACCACATTACCGCAAATCAAATGCAGCAAAAACGAGTGAGAAGAGTTCAAGGAATATAGAAATTAAAACTACACAGAAAGAAATTGGAAATTGGGATTTCAGTCCATCGTTTATTGGTAAAGTCCAATTTTGGCCATCATGATATCCAGCCATATCATAAACCATATATCAGCAAATGTAAGCAATTACCCTTCAATTAAAACATTTCTGACCCTACTTGCTTATTTAAAATGTAACAAAAACTGACCGATGCAGCATATTCCACCAATATGGTGGCAAGAGTGTGATTGTAGATTGTCCCTTGATCCTTCACTTTGAGTTCTACAGCCAAAAAACTTAACCGTAAGTAGCTATCCATAAATCAGTTGTCATAACCAACCATGCCAATTACCAGTTTGCAAATATAAGGCATCTGTTGGGAATTTAATTTTGCACACAAAATATTACATATAAATACATAAAAAGCAAACAATGCCTATACAACCTTATCTAGGTTGCTTCACTTGAAGCTTTAATTTCCATTAGTCCATAAGGATAGTTCAAAGTATCCACAGATACCACTACTTATCCGTTGATACATAGTGCGAACTACCTTGTCCATCTCGGTAACTCAACACAACAATAAGCTTACAGAGTAATAGAGACTTGCCCAATGTCTCAGATGAAACATCCATATATGGCTGCTTAAAATGCTATCTCAGCTGAAAATATCAGTCTTGGTCATAAACTTCACTAGATTTTTGTCTTCCTCTCTCATCCTAAACCATTCTTTTCCCAGTCATGAAATAGTGTCATCTTGGTTAAAAATGCACTACCAAGGCCGAGAACAAATCCAAGTATCCCTAATTTAAGCCCGAGGAATACTTAAATGTGTATAGACCTCAATTATCAGGCTAGGCAGTCCAGGTATGAGCAATGAAAGGCAATATAAACCTTTGGTCTAACAGCAACTGTTTGAAAGGGTCTCGATTAGAGTTTATACATCAATCCAGAATAATCAAGAGAGAAAAAAAGTTGATCAACAATTTATATAGAAGCTGTTCGGCTTGACAAAAGCCAGAATCTCAAATTCCACTTGCTACTGTACTGATAAAACTTCAAGTGTTTCCATGTATTCAAATTATACATGATCTAATACAGTACTTCCATAACTTTTTGCAAAATCAAAACAAGTAGTAGTAGTATATGGCATTTATAATTACCTCTAGCAGTTGAACAGGCAATTAAGCACATAATTATAACACCCTGTAACAAAATTCTTCCCTCCATAACCTATACGGAGAAAAATTCAGGGAGTAGATTAGAGCGGAGAAAGAACGGGGAAGAAGGGTCAACAAGGACAATTATTTTAGACCCAGTAGGCGATGGGTGCTTTTCGTGCACTCCTGGATTTCCTCTCTTCTTTATATATAATTTAAGAGAAGGAAAAACCAAAAAAAATAAAGATTTCCCAGTCGGGTTCGTAAAAAGACGTGATGCGGTGGTAAAACCATAGAATGTTTGCGTCTTCCTTTACCGTTTGGTCAGGGTAATTTTCTTCGAGGATAATTCCAGAGATACCCTATAAATTTATTATTTTGCAATACTAAATTTTCCTATAGTTTAAAAATATGTTGTTATTCTAAATACAAGGTTTGTTTTTGAATATTATAATACTCATTTTGTATAATGACATTTGGTGTCGTTAGCTTAATATTTTCTTTTTTTAGGTTTGTTTTTGAATATTATAATACTCATTTTGTATAATGACATTTGGTGTCGTTAGCTTAATATTTTCTTTTTTTACTTATTATTTAATAATTTTATTTTCTCTACATTTTCATAGTAACTCTATTACATATCTTACAATTTCTTATAGATTTATCATTAGAAAACTATGACAATGTGAACATTATGTAATGATAGAGAAGTAATAACAATATAATTTATCCAAACATTATATTCATTTAAACAATACAATACGACTCATTATGAAACAATACATAACAGCCATCCAAACAAAATGTTATTAATTATGATATTACTCTTGAGAAAAGACATAAAGTAACATATGAAGTTGTCTTGAATTTTTAAAAAGACATTGTAACTATGAAGGTGTCCTATTACCCCACAAAAGTATTACATACCTTTGTAAATAGACCATTTTGATCCATTTTCTCCCTATGTTTGTTTTCACGGAGATGACGCGCGTGAATAGAAAATTTTACTTTAAAAAATGCCACATATCAGTTCTTTCTCTATTATTTAATATTTTCCTTTTTAAATACATCATCTTCCCCAAACTCTTTAAAAAGATCATCTCTCTTGAACAAATCATCCCAAAAGAAGAATAAATTTATCACTTCTTGTTTATTCTTCCTCTTTAAAAATAGCATAAGTTGGATTAGTCTCTCCTCTTTATGATGAATTTTCTAGTTGAAGCATCTTTCTCTTTTTGTTCTTTATGTGGCTCAACACTCCTCTATGTATTTCTGCAGGCGAGGTGCATCAACAAACAACAATTCGAGTTACTGAGTTAGCTCACTAAAAGTTGGTGATTTTTTTGATAGATAAGTGGCATTAAGCTCTTAAGGAGATGCAAATGTATCTCTTACTATTTTTTTAAAAAAATTGTACCAAAAAGTTGTAAATAAAACAAGTTCCACCTAACATACCCAATAGTGAAAGTCCATTCAAAATGGACGAGGGAATCATAATCGGAGAGAATTATGGCGATTGAACTTTTTTGACAAAATTTCTAGGCAACCAACAATGCTAAAATGAGCACTGGAATGAACGAACACAACACAACAAATGGTCCCAATCAATAAGCTTCCTAACAAGTCGAATTCATAAATTAGGGTGAAGAATAAACAAATTATGGAAGTCTTAGACGAAGAAATTCAAATGCAATGTTTAGATAATTCTTAAAGCCATCAGGTTTATGATTGTGACCAATGGAAGTTTGAATAAGTTCATACTATTGAAGTTGAAAACTCAATGTTTCGGGTCGGGTTAAATCATCATCTTATTAATATTTAAATTAAAATACTTAATTAAAAGAGAGTGTGCTTCAACGCATATTCAAAATCTGAGATTGATGAGAAAACAAGGCAAAATGGTCTATTTACAAAGGTATTTTAAAGTTTTGTGGGGGTAATAGGACACTCGCTTAGTTAAAGTGTCTTTTTGAAAATTCGAGACAATTTCAAATGTTACTTTATGTCTTTTCTCTATACTCTTATAATTTCTTATTTTTGAGTTTGACTATTATTTAAACACATCTAAACACGTCTTTAAAAATTTAAATTTTCAATTTTTGATATTCAAAAATCTTCCACAAAATTCATGATCAAGAGTAAGTGCGTATAATTATTCCGTTTCTGTAATGCTAAATAAGAATAAATATAGTATAAACCCGTGCCTCAAAATAATCCAATTTGTGCAGATCGCCCGAAACCTATCAGACTCCATCCCAATACCAAAAGGCGCCAAATTGCAGATCACCCACAACTGGCGGGAACTCTCATTTTATCATATATATATATATATATATATTTATCAACAGCAAAATCACCCAATTGGGTTCTTTTAGCAAGCGAAGTATATATTCCAAACCTAACAACTCGCTAGTTAGTCGGCGAGTCCCATTTACGACTCCCAATTGAGAAACCCTAGCATCGTCGCCATGGGGAAACCGTCGAGAGATAGATCATCATCGGAGGAGTCTGTATCGGAAAGTTCCGAGGAGGAGCAAGTCCAAGGTCAGGTCAATGACGAGGAAGACGAAGAGGAACTTGAGGCCGTCGCCAGGGCCGCTGAGGACTCCGACGAAGAGGAAGACGATGATGCCCCTACCGATGGAGCGGACCAAGAAGACGAGGTATGCTAATGGCTGTTTCCGTCAGTTTTGATCAGTAATTTGTTGTTCGGCACAGTAAAGCGGCTGATCTCACGTGTTTGCTAGAGTTTTTATGGTTATTCAAATATTAGGGTTGCTTTTCTCTGGTTTTCGTTGTTCTGCTGAATTAATGCTCAATAGCATGTCGCATTTTGCTAATGCCTGGCCAAGCTGGTAATGCTAGGGGTTTTAGTCATTTAGACTGAAATTGTTCAAGCATGCGTGCATGTTCTGGGAGGAGCTTTTGAATCAGAGAAATCGAAGTTAATATGAATTGAGTCATATTTTTTCTGGCATATTATAGTGAAACACTGAGCAATTTCCTTATCGAATTACTTAGCAAACTATAACGATGTTTATTTTTTAGCAGCTTTCATGTTTTGAGAAGTTTTATGACATTTATTTTGCAACTCACTAGTTCTGCTATACTACCTGTAGGAAGAGGTTGCAGTCAATGAAATCTCAAAGCGTGAAAAGGCCAGGTTGAAAGAGATGCAGAGGATGAAGAAGCAGAAAATACAAGATATGTTGGATTCACAGAATGCTGCCATTGAGGCTGACATGGTATCTTAGTGAGAATACTTGTTGGTGCCCCCTTTCTTTTGTTTTAATTGTTCATAAAAGGTGTACTCAATGCTGATGTATCTGTGGCAGAATGTCAAGGGACAGGGGCGATTGAAGTATCTCTTACAGCAAACTGAGTTATTTGCACATTTTGCCAAAGGTGAGCAGTCCACCGCTCCAAAGAAAACAAAAGGAAGGTATGAGTAACTTCGTCTGACATTTATTTGTTAGTTTTTTTTAATGAAAGGCGGATATTGTGATCCTAGAGACTTATAGAGCTTAAATACTTTGAGCAATGCATTTTTGGCTAATCTGCTGGAATTTCTTTGTTATTCAATAGTTGATGTTAAGGTGCATGGAGTGAGTGATATGGAACTGTGGTTCAAGCAAGAGGAAAAAAATATTAAGTTTTTTAAGATTATCTATTTGATTCTTCCTTACAATAGAATGAGATCTTCTTTGCCTATCAATGGGACTTTAGTGCAAGTGTTCGCAATGTAAAATCAACACAACATACATACACATTGCTATTTATATAACTTGGCAAGGACTTCCATATTGTTTGCTTGTTTCTTAAGTTGCTTCCTTTTCTTGATATAAGTGATGCTGAGAATTGAGATATTGACGGGCTTCATTGACAAGTCATCTAAAAAGAGAGGCATGGTTCCTCTTTTCTACATGTTCTGCAGTTCCTGGCGTTGTAGTGTGAATATCGAATAAAAAGCTCTCCTTAATCATAATAAGATAAAGTTATATACTGAAACCCTGAAGTAACAGTCATATACAACTTGATTTTAGAGTTGGATGGCACCGTGTTATTTCAGATGATTATTTGGGTGGACGTGCTTCACCCAGTATGCTTTATGTTGTTCATATAAAGGAGAAATTTTTTCCACTTACCAGAGGTACTTCTGTATGTGGATTCGTTATGGGCCATTTGATGACCTTTTCTTTCTTTAGGGGTCGTCATGCATCAAAGGTAACTGAAGAGGAAGAAGATGAAGAGTATCTCAAAGATGAAGATGAACTTTCTGGGAATACACGACTTGTGGCACAACCATCCTGTAAGATATATTTTGATGCAAGTGTATTTGTTAATATGATGTTACTGAACCGTGTATCATGAAGTTGTTACTAAACTGGTAGGTCCATCCTGAAAAGGCTGAGATCAGATACCCAAGCGTAGATCCTACTTAAAAAGAAGTTACTTATGCAATAATCCTGTGAGGTGTATAGTTTGAGTAGCTCTGTGCAAGGTTCTTTAGTCAAGTTGTTGTTACAAGTGATAGTGTTAGTTAAACATGTGAGCAACTGATTGATGGCTGCACAGAATCAAGTTATTTTTGTTATCATTTTATTTATATAAGGTGGCTAAAGAAATAAGCGAGTTTTACAGGGGTGGAGATTTGTCAATACCTCTAAATGAGCATCATTATTGGAAACTGTGAATTTAAAGAAAACCAAGTTAGTGAGGTTTCACTTGTTGAATTCTCCTGTACTTCTTTTATATGAAGCATGGTAGCCCTGCTCAAAGGTTTGAATTTAAGCGTATTTCGGAAAATAACGTCATATTGAACAGTTGAAGTTTGGGATACATGCTTCTATCTCATTTTCTCTGTTACTCCCTTCATATTTCATTCTTCTTTAAGCACCTGAATATCACATCATAAATACTTTGTCAGGTATTCAAGGGAAGATGAGGGATTATCAACTTGCTGGTTTAAACTGGCTGATTCGACTGTATGAGAATGGAATAAATGGAATACTTGCTGATGAAATGGTTAGTATGGTCATATGCAACTGTATTGAGATGCTCCCTTCTCCCTACATTTTGCAATTATGACTTTTAAGGAGAAGCATCGTCATTTAATTCTCTTATTATTGCATAGGGTCTTGGTAAGACGTTGCAAACCATCTCCTTGATGGGCTACCTACATGAATTTAGAGGAATAACTGGTCCTCACATGGTTGTTGCTC